GTGTTTATCATTCGTAGATCCTCCCTTTCAGAGCGCACAGAAACACTCAGAAGAGAACCAGTATCACGCAATGTCTGGTGAATTCGTGTAAATACACTTCGAGATGGAATCCTTCGATCAGGAAAACGCCTTTGGTATTCTTCAACAGCAGCACATGCAGTGCCACCGCAAAATCCACACACAAAATGCATATCACAATATTCCATGTGTGAAAACACAGAAAGGCATTTCAGCAACTCCACACAACTAATTACCAACCATTCACGACGCCGCCGCAACATACTGTGTACGTAGCACATGAGCTTACGGCTAGTGTGAATCACCACACTCAAGGACAAACATAGATAAGACGTCTCAGCTGGCAGGTATAGTGCGTGGACCCGCCAGAAGACCACTTTTTTCTCGTGCCATTATCTCTGTAACTGTTCAACTTTGGACATAGGTGTTTGGGTTATATCGGCATACTTTAACATAAGGAACACCCTCCTGAAGTTTGGCACATTCATCCTGGGACATCCTGTATACACAGGATGTTTGACGACTTTAGGGCATAACTGCAGGAGGTGATTTTCTAGAACTTTCTGATCAAAAAAGTTCATATAAACATGTGACCGGTTTTGAACGGTTATGGAGTTATGACAGTTTTTTCATTCCCATACACACCCTTATGTGAACCGCGTCTGTCATCTGGCGGGTCGCTATTTTTAGCCACCTATAGACGGAGTGTTCTTGTTATTTCGACACTTGAGAGGCACCTAAAGCATCGTGGGTTGGTATGTCCAGCGCGGTTCACAAACGAGCGGCAGCCTGTGTTGCGACTGGCGGTGGAATTTTCGAAAATCAGCATGAAGCATCAATAAATTCAAATTAAAGGTAATTTCGCGAAGTTAATTTTACATTCATACTTTAAATGCATCATGTATTATGCTGGTTTATTATTTTGTTCCATTTATTGTCAGTAATCGTTACCTTCTATTCTGAGTTTAAAACGGGCATTACTCCCTAACCGTCCAAAATCGGACACATGTTTATATGAATTTTTTGATCACAAAGACCTAGGAAATCACCTCCTGCAGTTATGCCCTAAAGTCGTGAAACACTCTGTATATACAGGTTTATTCAAAAAGAATGAACCGATTATATTACGCAATATTTTATTAAAGGAAAGTGATACAAAACTCCAGCCAAGTGACAAGTATTCTACTCACAATCAACTTTCATTTCCTGTCTTACAAGTGTTCAGTGTGGCCACCACCTGCAGCATGGGCAACATCAGTGCGATAAGAGAATTCCTCCCAGGTGGGTATCAGCATATCACGATGCAATGAGTTAATAGCCGTTGTTATTCGATATTTAAGGTCATCGAGGTTAGTGGGTAGTGGTGGAACATAAACGCGATCTTTTACATATCCCCACAAGAAGAAATCACACACGGAGAAGTCTGGGGACCTCGCAGGCCTAGCACAAAGAGCAAGGTCTTTGGCCCCCTTCCGACCAATCCATCGCTGGAGCACTTTTTCATTTAAAAAAGCTTGAACCATCAGGTGCCAATGGGGTGGTGCTCCATCTTGTTAAAAATGAAGTCATGCGAATCTGCTTTCAGTGAAGTGAAGAGCCGGTTTTGGAGCATATCGAGATAGGTTTGTCCTGTAACCATGTTTCCTTCAAAGAAAAAGGGACCATAAACCTTGTCCTGAGACACAGCACAGAAGATGTTCACCTTAGGGGAATCTCTTTCATGCTCAACTGTTTCATGTGGGTGCTCTGTTCCCCAAATACGCACATTGTGACGATTGACTGTGCTGCTCAAATGAAAAGTCGCTTCATCACTAAAAATTAAATGTGAAATGAAGGTTTCGTCTTCCATCATCTCCAGCATCGAATCGCAGAATTCCATCCGCTTCCTTTTGTCATTGGTAAGTGCCTGAACGAGCTGCAGTGTGTATGGTTTCAAATGTAGTAGTGTTGTTAGCACACTCCAGACAGTGGATTGAGGAATTGCAAGCTCACGGCTAGCTCGATTTTTTTACTTCCACGGGCTCATCTCAAATGCGGCATGGATTCTCTCCACTTGTTCCTCGGAGACTCGTGGTCATCCTGGACTTTTTCCTTTACACAGACACCCACTCTCTTGAAACTGTCGAAACCACTGTTGAATGTTCTTAGGACAGGGCAGATTAATGCCGAGTCACCTTCGAAATGCACACTGCACCGTCACAACCGAATTTGTTTTCGCGAACTTGAGAACTCAGAACGCCTTTTGCAGAGGACTCGCCATTCTGAGGGTAAACGAACAACTGAACGTGGCTGGAAGAACGACGTGACTTCAGCGCCCATGTGGCAGCCATTCACAACTTAGATAACTCCTCTGTCATATGGTCACTGACTCATTCCATGACGATGCTTGAGAACTGAAGCAATGTACCATGAAATCGGTTCATTCTTTTGAATAATTCTGTATATTATATATTGTCACATGTAAGGGGGTTTTGCTGGGCCATATACAGCCTTTCTTAATATCATTTTTAGCTCAGCCTTTATTGTTATTTCATTTTAAGAGCATATCCACTATTAATTAGATGCCTGTCCAGCCTTACAAATGCATAATATTATTTAATATTGTAGTTAAACAGTGGCATTTCAGCTTAACTTGTGTTGAATCAGAAACCTCCATACATGCTGATGGACTCAGGCGCACACCACACAAGGGGTGTGTTCTCTCTCTATCCCTCCCTCCCATCTCTGTCACAACTCTCAAGCCTACCAATTTAACATTTCACTGTATTGTTGCTTCGAACTTGTTGTGGCCCAAATTCGAGACTGAAACTCAAAAGATGTTGCTTAAATGTTTCGAGACTTGCGAAAAGTGTTTTACAGCCATTACAGTAGTATGTCAACACCTGGACAGGCAACTAGGTTAAGAATGTTGATGATCAGCATTTATGCGTAATCACATAAGTAAGAAGCTCTGCTAACGGGGCCACTGGAGTAGGGTAATATTAGTAAATATGCAGCATTGATATACCATGGGCCCACCCACAGCCACAGGGAATAGCCAATTAGAATATAACTTCGGAAATTGAGAACGAAAAGAGGAGTTAACTTCCCTCTTTTGTCAACAGCCGAATCAGCAAGTTAAAGATATAAATTACTGAATTTAGAGAGACTTGGGATCCGATCTAAAACGTAGTAACGAGTTGTCAGCCGGAGGCCCTATTCGATATGTGTGCCACGAGATGGTGGATGGCGACATTTATCTACATAGTTATTGCAAGTAGTTCTCTTTGCTCATATAAGACATGCTGTTAAACTATAGAGTTCATAAAAGTGTTGTTGTGTGATCTCAATGTACAGTCTCCAGTGTACCCCAGCGATAGCCATGGTAGAATAGGGTAGCAATTGTGTAGAGAGTGACAAGCGATGAAGGGAGTGACAGTCTCAAGGTACCTCCAACCCCCAGAGGGAAATTAGAAAGAGAGTAGTGAGAAGGTGTTATGTAAACAGGCCAAAGGCGGCCCTTTCTTTTAATGTATATATCACTGTAAATAGACCAGTGTACATAGGATAGGATGTACGCAGGGAGTTTTGATTCATCCCTTAATAACCATCCCATCCACGACCGATCCCGAGCGACCATAACCAAGACAGCCGACGGCAGCCGAGTGCAGCGAAGATTGTAGCTAAAAAGAGTAGTGACAGACTAAAGTAATTATATTTTTTCACCCCCTCCCCCTGACTTGTAACAAAGTGGTGGCAGCGGTGGGATACCTCCACGCCCCCTACCACCACGGCATTACAAAAGTTATTTCACTTCCTGTTAGGATTTTTCATTTTATTTACTCTCATTTTCCAGGGTAATTTGAATGAACTTCAACCTGTACATGGTGAGGAGCTACGATATTCCTGTGATGAGTGTGATGAATCACTCTGTCAAGAACAAATTCTGATAGCACATCGACACATACATAGTGAGGAGCAGTCATTTTGCTGTGGTGTGTGTAATAAGACATTCAGTCAGCAGAGTCATCTGAAGAAACATCAGTGCATACATAGTGGGGAGAAGCCACATTGTTGCATCGTGTGTAATAAGTCATTCCGCTTAAAGAGTGGTCTAAAGAGGCATCAGCGCATACATAGTGGGGAGAAGCCATTTTGCTGTGATGTATGTAATAAGTCATTTATTCAGCAGAGTAATCTGAAGACACATCAGTGCATACATAGTGGGGAAAAGCCATTTTGTTGTGATGTATGTAATAAGTCATTTAGTCGTCAGAGTGATTTGAAGAAACATCAGCGCATACATAGTGGGGAAAAGCCATTTTGTTGTGATGTATGTAATAAGTCATTTGGTAATCAGAGTGATCTGAAGACACATCAGCGCATACATAGTGGGGAAAAGCCATTTAACTGTGATGCATGTAATAAGTCATTTAGTCGTCAGAGTGATCTGAAGAAACATCAGCGCATACATAGTGGGGAAAAGCCATTTTGTTGTGATGTATGTAATAAATCATTTAGTCAGCAGGGTAATTTGAAGAAACATCAGCGCATACATAGTGGGGAAAAGCCATTTTGTTGTGATGTATGTAATAAGTCATTTGGTAATCAGAGTGATCTGAAGACACATCAGCGCATACATAGTGGGGAAAAGCCATTTAACTGTGATGCATGTAATAAGTCATTTAGTCGGCAGAGTAATCTGAAGAAACATCAGCGCATACATAGTGGGGAAAAGCCATTTTGTTGTGATGTATGTAATAAGTCATTCAGTGATCGGAGTAATCTGAAGACACATCTGCTCATACATAGTGGGGAAAAGCCATTTTGTTGTGATGTATGTAATAAGTCTTTTAGTCGGCAGAGTAAGCTGAAGAAACATTAGCGCATACATAGTGTCAAAAAGCCATTTTGTTGTGATATATGTAATAAGTCATTAAGTCATCAGAGTAATCTGAAGACACATCTCCGCATACATAGTGGGGAAAAGCCATTTTGTTGTGATGTATGTAATAAGTCATTTTGTCAGCAGAGTCATCTGAAGACACATCAGCACATACATATTGGGGAAAAGCCATTATGCTGTGAGGTATGTAATAAAGTCATTCAGCCTGTGGACCCAGCTGAAGAAGCATCAGTGCATACATAGTAGGGAGCAGCTGTTTTGTTGTTATGTATGTAATAAGTTATTTAGTCAGCAGAGTAATCTGAAGACCCATCAGCACATACATAGTGGCAAAAAGCCACTTTGCTGTGATGTACTATATAATAAGTTATTCAGTCTGTGGACCCAGCTGAATTAGCATCAGTGCATACATAGTAACGAGCAGCCATTTTGTTCTTATGTATGTAATAAGTCATTCAGTATGCAGAGCCATCTGAAGAAACATCTGCGCATACATGTTGATGTGTGTGGTAAATCATAGAGCAGTATAGATGGGTTTAGACTAAAGGAACAGTATGTAACTTGTAGCATGTCACAGTTTTTCATGTTGTAAGTAAGACAGTTTTGCTGTGTGGCATGCGTCAGTTTTGTAGAATGCTACAATATATTGGAGTTGGTGCTGTTGCTAACCTTTTGAACGGACAGGAAATGAACTGAATCCCATGGCACAAAGCATCTGTGCAAATGAGTTCCATTTGATTCTGACTGCTGAATGTGCACAATGCCCCGTCTTGTTGAGTGGAAACAGACATGACACGACATTCTCCTACAGTTATGATGTTAATTCAGCACTGGAAGCTAACGAATAGTAGAGTGTAGTCACTGAAACTGATCAACAGCTTATACACATAATTCAACAGCATTATATGCTTTTTGCTGTATGTTATCTATGCTCTTCTGCCATTACATGTGATTGAATTCATTGATCAGTTAGTTTCAGATTGATATATCACTTGGATTGAGTATATTGAGATAGATATTGTGGATTGGTCAGATGAATACAAACTATGCTGTATTGGACATTGCAAACGATATATCTGTTTGCAGGATACTTGGTATATTGATTATAAAAAGAAAGTTTAATAAAGGTGGTTTGATTCTGCTTGTTGAGAAATGAAGTAGTACAGAGAATTTAATTGAAAGGATCAAGAAAGACTTGCTTCCAGTGATGGAAGGACCACTGGGCTAAGTGTGTGGAGTCACAAGGGGCCTAGTTTGAAGGGTATTAGATATTGTAACTACCCAGATACAGAACTTTATTTTCCCCGCCCAAGGTTGAATAATTTTTGGGCAGAATAGTATGTCTGTGGTTCATGTAATATGTGTATGAGGGAGAGTCAGCAAACAGGTCACAAATGGAAGTAAAACAGCTATAATGTATGTACATAATAGGTTTTCTATGTGCATCACTAGGTACGAGCATAGTCCAGCCTCATGACAGTCTAAGTAGCAGGCCTGTGTGCATATGTTAAGAGGCTGATTTCAGTAGCCAAAATGATGACTGTGCTTGAGGGTATACCACTGAAGTGCAGTGTTGTGTTGTGTTGTGCATTTTCTGTGGGCAAAAGGACTGAGTCCAAAGGATGATCATAAGGAAATGTTTCCTGTTTACATTGGGAAGTGTTTGTTGCATAAAGTGGTTTAGAACTGGATTGAGAAATTCTCTCAAGACTGTTCAAAAGTTGCAGATGATGCCCGACCAGGTCACCCTGTTGATGTTGCAACAGAAGCAACTGTGCGGCAGCTGAAAGAATTGATTCGAGCTGACAGGAGGATGACAGTAGACAGTTGAAGTTGCATTAGCATATTATGATTATCCAGTGCCTCCAAATGTGATCTATGTTCACCTTTCTGTCCTCTGCCTACCCAGATAAGGGCACAGATTTCATCTATGAGCTGGAGACACCCATAGTAAGGAGTCAATGACCCCAATTGGTAAGATGATCATGAAAGTGATGGTTGGCAGTGGGTGCACCTAGTAGTGTTCATATTCCCATAATGTTATCTTTGGTAGGAGTGATGGTTTCAGTCTGTGAATAGAAGATCTATACACATCTGACTGACAATCAAACTCAGGACCCTCTGAATGATGGTCCAGGATCTTAACCCAACACCACTAGTTTCCCATGTATCCCATAAACCCTTCCAGAGATTTTGTTCGAATTTAATGTGGGAGACTCTTACTAATTTGTATTTCACTATTCCCATTTAAATATGAAGTTTTAGATTTAAGAGAATGTTGTTGGTAATTCTGTGCGCTGTGTTATGGAGTACACCCTTTCCAGCTTTGTTTACTTAGTAAAGAACTTGTAATAATGGCATAGTGTTTTTTTTTTAATTCTAAGATACTGCATAATAGCACTTAGATATAAATGCAGTATAATCTGTTTTGTATTTTTCAATTCCAGGCTGACTAGAGTGTTAAAAACGTTTGGTGAAGGTGACTGGCAGTTGGCGACTCTGATATGTCAGGTGATCTGGAACTACTGCATTGAATCAGTGAATCTCCATGCTGCTCTGGGCATTGATCAAACAAATCAGTTACTGGGAATATTGGTGGACTTTTTAGGTGAGGTGACCACAAGAATCCTCAGGCATTAGATCTACTTGGCCTGTTAACAGATGTTACAAGACAGAATTTTTCCATCTTTTTCATGCCTTCTGAATCATCTCCTTCCAGTAGACTGTTATTCTCAAGTGTCACCCTCATCTTTGCACATGTGCAGATATAACAATATTACATTATATATTTATAGTTTAATGGCTCTGTTAGTAGCCCAGACTGTGTAGCATCAAGCAGGAGGATGATTAATGAATAATGAATGAGAAAACGTCCAGAAAGAAATGATCATGGCATAATTTGAGGTAGTATCCTGGCACATTTCAGGAAGGTCTGAGGAAAATGATGAGGGATCATAGTCACAACAAACAATAATGTCAGTGTAATGAATATTATAAAATTTCATCTGCTTGTAAAATGATCTGAATTCAGTAATCTAGTCTCTATTTTTTGTTACTATTGTAACGTGTTTTGCCACTGAAGACGCCGTTCGGATTGTTAATGGGTTTATTCAACAACCTGCAAATCGTAACTACAATTAATTATAACACAGTTGCGGGTTTACACAATTTATAAACCCTACACAATAATCTGCTCACTCTATCTTCAATAGTCTTCACTTATTCACAGTACAATATGGGAGCTATACCAGTGTCACTGTATTACACACTCCCAATACCTTCTCACACTATCACCTCTAATCACACGTTCTGGTCTTCTTACGATTTACTCGCTACAACTGAACTCGGTGACTGCTACAATTCAACTGACTGCTTAGGCATTCCAGTTCTCTTATAAACCCTCAGCCAGACATCGGAAAATGCACCTCGCTTCCTTGTTGCATAATTGCCATGTTTACAGTCATTGGTGGGCAACGCTGCCGAGAGTTGGTTATTGATGTGTAGTAACCGCGGTGTCCCCTGTTACATCACTGTGGGAAGTGCTGTTACGTCACCCCAAGGAAGGGGCGCTCACCGAGCACTGCGCAATGATGGAAGGAGTGGGGGTATGTGACATCACTCGCGAGACCCCTACATCCTGTTGCTCCATCCACGTCACACTATAAATATAATTATATGATTATACTTTCTGTATTGATTGGATTTTAATTTGGCTGGGAGGGAGTATGCATAAGATTTAAATGTCACACATGATAGACTCGTCAGTAAAATGACTGGGAAGTCAGGGTTTGGTTCTTGGAAGAAAGAAAATACTCGTAGTTTAGAGACCACATATTCACCAGGTGTCAGGTTGCTGTAGGCAGCCGAATAATACAGCTGAACACTCGTCTCCAGTCAGTGCCAAACATGAGAATGCTTGCCTTCTAACCCCTTGGTGTCTGGCAAGTGCCATACTGCTGGAATTCAAAGTATATAAAAGGAAAGTGCTTACTTTTATCTTTCAGCAAAAGCTCTGATATTTTTATTGCAATCAGCTGTATGCATTGAGTAGCTTACTTTTAACACATTGAAGACCAGTGATATAAATATTAGATCACCCTGGGGACCGCCATTATTAAACTTGCTATCCTAACACTTGCACTGTTCACTTTAAAAATTAATATAAAATCTCCTAATTAATTTTATGAACTAAAATTTTTGGAGAACACTTACCAATGCTCCTAGAAGTGTGTGAGGATGTGATATTTCTGGAAACATTCCCCTTTGTGAAGTGGCATTACACAGAATTTGCAAATGTAGACATACTCCTTCTTTTATGAACTGTGGGAACACGGCATTACCTAGGAGGATGCTTCCCCTTGGAATGTTCACTCTTCACAGTTTTCACGAGGTATGTTTCCGCATATCACTTGACAGTCACCCTGGGGGGTCCACATGAGGCCTGCGTGGGGTGGGGGTTGATGGGCCTGGTCGCACTAAGTCCGTGACTGACTCTGGTTCTGCCACCACCATCTGGTCTGTAGCCCAGGCCTTTGCCACATTCATCTCAAAATGCTTTGTATTTCAATTTTGAATTAGGGTTAAATTTTTGTGATTCTTTTAGATATTTACTGTCTCTGCAATGTTATTACCCGCATTATCATCGGAGCTACTGTCACTTTTACAGTCTTTGGCCACAATTCTTTGTTCTTTCCTGTCACTGCTGCTCTCTCAATCACCATAACTACGCGGCTCACAAGGCAGGTCAACTGGCTCATCAGAGAAGAATTTGTCCATGTCCATACCCCACCCCTAACTACTGGCTGATACATACAGCTCGAAGAGCAGCAAAGCATTTTCATTTATAGTGGCTTAAGAAAACAGTGAGATCAAGTTACTGACAAGTAAGCAAACATTCCAGAGTTTTATTGTGCCATTGCGTGCAACTTGGGTGGTGCCAGAGCGAGGTACAAACTAACGTGTCCTAAAATAATATCATGCGACCGGTCTGCCATGTTTAAAAGCCAAAAGCATGATATCATGCTACCAGTCCTCACTGTGTTAAGAAGTGTGTTCCTTGGTTTCACATGTGCCAAGCGAGACAAGCTGCACTCTCAGCTAACTATTCCAATATTGTGCACATTCAGAGGAAAGAGAAAGTTGTGTTTGTACTGCCGGTCATACAGGTGCATTTCCACATGATTTAACTTGTAGCGCACAGTTCACGGCTGTCGACATTACTGAAAGAGGATCATGAGGCAGGCTCTTGATGTTCTTGATGTAGAGACGTGGTCTGTGAGGGTTTGTATTCATGTTACATTGCAGATGAGGAGCGTTTATTTGAAGTCTTGGAAGGTACAGACATGAATGAGGCTCTGGTTACTTCTGAACATTATCAAATGTGGGAAGAATTTGCTGGAGAAGATTGAGACATTCCTGAATTCTCTAGATTCGCCCAAACAGTTGGAACACATGGAACCTCTACTCAGTGACCATCAGTCCCTAGGGCACAGTATATCCTCTGCACAGCCTGAGTTACAACAGTATCAGGTCCTGTAAAGATGGGTGAGGGTGTGGGGAAATCATCTTTGATATTATTGCAATGTTCAGTGTCATGAGAGTCACAAAGAAGAATGTCTCTGTATGACTGGACAAGCCAGGGCTCACCAGGTTTTTATAATGCTTTTATGAGGAGAGGTGGTCAGATTCACAGAAGTTATTTTCACACCAAAGTAGATTATTTTTTTTGCAAGTGGAAGCACTGATTCAGATAATTATAAAAACAAATGTAATGTAAGAATTCAGCTCATTCTGCTTCGACTTCAAAATATGCTGCTTACATCAGAAACTGTACTGAGTTTTAAATCAGAATATAATATTTAACACATACATGTCTATCAATACAAAGGATACAACATTATATACAATATCTCATATTCTTTATGTAAAAGAATTTTGTAACAGTTTACTTGTTCACTTATATACAGAATATATTCCAACTGTGAAGATGTTAACAAATTCCGTCCTTACAGTTCTTATAAAATATTAAAATATATATATATATATATATATATATACACACACACACACACACTTACTACTGCTGAATTATATAAGTAATGTGATACTATTTTACAGATGATGCTTTTATTACATTACGGAGAGGATCTGTGTGCAATATTCTGCACTGCCTTTAGAGATACAGTAGAACTTGGTTATAACGTCATCAAAGGGACCTAAAAATAGTGTCGTTATAAAGGAATGTCGTCGTAACCGAAAAGGGCACTTCCACAGTAGCCTTATGTTAGTCACGGAAAAATCTACCAAAAATCAAGTTAAAATGTTGCATTTTTTAGTGAAATACATAGTTAAGTACAGACTAACGTAACATTAACGTGGAATTGCCCAAATGTGTAATATCAGAGACATGTTACAGCGCTTTTCACTGACAATACACACAATATTTCACGAATCACTTTTAACTTTCTCTTCAATGCTTAAAACTTTCCTTTTCATTGCCATGTTTTCGCTACTGCACTTCTCTGGGTTTAGGCAGGGTAAGTAGACAATGTGAGGTCCTGTTAGACGAGATTCTAGGAAAGGAATGCAGTTAACAACCTGCCGCGTCCTCTTGCACTATTCACGCAGTCCCACCCCACACTCTTGTTTTCGTGTAAAACCCACGCTCCTCTTGCAGCCAGCGGTCGTATTCTTCCA